GAGCCCCGGTTACCCGTTAGGTTCTCCGCGACTCCGAATCGACATCGGCCCTATTGGGCCCCATCTGTGGTGGTCTGATGGCTCTTTGAGGCGCGCGCGGAACGCGACGCGCCGTACGCTCGGGTATGTATATACAGCTTTAATATCGTTCTTAGGAACTTAGTCTGACTGTACGGTTGGTGTGGTGGCTGCCGTGCAACGTGTCGCGGGTTCGATTCCTGCGCATCAATACTTTATGTGATCCATAAATTGTTGTTCCGGGTCTGGGTGCCATGTGTATATAAACGCACCCACGACACGGGAGAAAACCCTAGTGTAGGGCAACGTTTTTAAAAAAAGTCCTTGCCTAGTAACTTAAGACTAGGTTTGAATACAAAGCAATAATTTAGGTAGTAGATCTTCTTAGAATCAAAAGAAAGTCATAAAAAGGAACTGGAATGACACCTAATGATGTCTACCAAATTACCTACGTAGATATTCAATAGATAGAGGCTTCAATAAACATTGAAGCCTCACAAGATACTTCGCAACTTTCTGAACAAAAATAAATATATGTACATACGTAAACTTCCAGTTGATAAGTACCTAAGCCTTACAAACAGACAGTTCTATGTACCTCTCTGGGGAAAAGTGGGATTATACTTTTCACTGGAAAAAGGTGGGATTAGTCCAGGTACTTTGATACATCGAAATTCGTAATATCTACGCCGAATGCCATTCATTTCCCTTGGGTACGATTAAGAAGAGTTCCAACGAATGTTCATTCATATCTATGGGAACGTGGGCACAAATTATAATTTATTATTATATTATTTGAAAACAGGTGGAAATTTATGTTTTAAGAAGAAAAATACAACGGCAAACTTTAAGAGAAATGGCAATTATTTTTTTCTTTCTTTCTTTCATTCATATATTATTTAAGTGTGGGAAAACCAGGCTTCAGCACGAATGGGCCGGCGCGACCGGAGAAAACCGACGTGAAACAACGCTTGCGTTATGTTTCGTCGTGTAAGTAAGGTTACCGGAGGACCAATTACCTACCTCCCTTTCCCAATCTCCTCAATCCCTAAACCCCCAACAATCCTCAAATTCCTAATGTCCAAAAGGCTGGTAACGTATTTGTAACGCCACTGGTGTTTCAGGTGTCTATGGGAGACGACGATTGCTTATCATTAGGTGATCCGTCTGCTCGTTTACCGGCTTTACCCATGAAGGAAAAATGGGTACATCGTTAAAAAGATTATCTTACTAATTTTTACTAATATTATAAATGTGAAAGTTTGACTTTATGTGTACCTATATATTGTTACTCAGTCACAGTCACATACACAGACATCCCGGTGGATGAAGTTTGGAACAGAGGTAGATCGATTATGATCTGGAACAGGCTTCTTTTTATTACACGGGAACGCGAGCAAAACCGCAGGCAGAAGCTAATTGAAAAAAAAATTAATACTGGTTCTCAATAATCAGAACCTCACATGCATGAAGACACATACCTCACATACATGGTATCCTATTGTGTTCGATGCTTATTGAGTCGTACCTATTACAATAAGATCAGCATACCTAACTGGTGACAGTATAGGGGCATAGGGCACCCACCCTAGTAACTTTTTTTTTTTTATTATTATTAATTTTATTTAAAAACACAGGTAAGTATCTTATAATCTAAGCCCCACAAAACCGTTGGAATGGTTTGACTGCGGGGTCGAGTCGCTAGACATTACAATTAAATGTACTTATATTTAAATGTTGTACAGGCGTTAAAACTTATACTTAGGTACTTATTATTAGGACATTTCTAAATAATATGACTTTAATTTTCGTTTAAACCTGTTCGAATTTGTTTCACTCCTTATGTCTGCCGGCAGACTGTTTAATAGATATGGTATTCTCTTTTTTAGTGTTCTATCACCAAAATAGTTGGTGACTCTGGGTACATTGTATCTACCAGCAGCCATAGTTCGTGTGTTTTGGTTGTTCTTTACATAAGATACGTCATGCTCCTGAGTACGGTGGTGGTTAACTAATAATAGATATTTATGTTTGTAAGTAATCGGTAGAATTTTGCATATTTTAAATAATTTTCTATAGTCTCCTTTACAGCTGCTTTTAGTTTTTTTAGTAACAAGTAGTTTTAAGAATCTAATCTGGAGAGCCTCCAATTTATCTAAATGTATTTTAAATGTTAACCCATAGCTGTCAAGAGCATAGCTCATGATAGAATCAACTAATGACATATAAATACATCTTAAAATATTAATAGGAACTTTAAAGCTTTTTTTTTTTTTTTTTTTTTTTTTTTTTAAGGGGGGAAAATCATCGAATGACTGCTCCCGCCTGGGTGAGGCGGAAGGGAGTGTCAGACTCTTACTGACTAAAAACCACCCCGTTCCTTCTCCTGCACGTCGAGCCGGAGCCCCGGTTACCCGTTAGGTTCTCCGCGACTCCGAATCGGCATCGGCCCTATTGGGCCCCATCTGTGGTGGTCTGATGGCTCTTTGAGGCGCGCGCGGAACGCGACGCGCCGTACGCTCGGGTCTGTTTCTGGTCGGACGGGGAGCCACCCATGCTCGCCGTCCGCAGGCCCGCGCTTACGGTGGCCGGAGATCGTCCCGCGATCCCCGACGCCCGGTGTGTCCTTCGCGATGGCTGGGTTGCGAGGAGGCAGCGCTTCGCTGCCTCACGCGTCCCGCCTCCTCCTTAGCTAGCATGACTGCTTCGCAAAAGGAGGAGACGGCATCCCAGTCCCCCTCGCTCCGCATCATGGCCTGCACTAGGCCCGGACGCGAGAGGTCGCCATCGCCGATCACTTCCCTGAGGGCACGGCGGTGCTCAGCCCACGCAGGGCATTCCGCTACGGTGTGTTCCACCGCGTCCTCAGGGCGGTCCTCGCAGTGATGACACCCGGGCGTTTCCTCCCGCCCCATCAGACACAGGTACCTCCCGAAACTTCCGTGTCCGGTGAGGACCTGCGTCAGGCGGTAGGTGAGGACGCCGTAGCGTCTCTCAAGCCACTCCTCAAAGAGGGGACTTACCGCTGCAATGGCAGCGAGCCCAAACTTTAAAGCTTAGGTGGTACATTTTACTCAATAAAATTCTTAGTTTACTAGAAATATAGTCTACATGTTGTAACCAGGAAAAGTTACTATCTATTTTCACACCAAGGTAGGTTACACAGTTAACTGTTTCAATAGGTTCACATTTACAATCCAGTAAATTATTATGGTGACATGTATAGTCGTGGGTAAATAAGGACGGAATCACATTATGAGGTTGCAAATACGGCGAACGAATTAACATTAGTTTAGTTTTACTGGCGTTTAACATAATGCCATTGTCATGTGACCATTTAACAACAGCGTCTATATCTTGTTGAACTAGCTGACAGATATCATCAATGTTAGTTCCGGAGCGAAGTATGCACAGGTCATCTGCAAACATATAAGCTGAACAATGCTGCAGCACTCGGCACAGGCTGTTAACATGCATAAGGTAAAACCTACTACCTATAAGATTTAAAATATTCAACATATTCTTCGTGGCTTGATACTCCTATCAAATCTAAATCCTATCAGAAATGGTTAACTTACAAACCTATACTCTATATCCTCATGCGATTGGAGACGTGTGTGGCGACTGGCTAGTGGCGAACAACCTTGAAAAGCGTCCGATAGGTAATAAAAAAACCAATCCAATCGTATATTTTTAATAACCTCGTAATAAGGAGACTTCATACTAATGACGGTCGTAAATGAAAATTAAAAGCAACAATCTTCCATAGACCGAGGCTACGTATAGTTATAATTATTTATACCTAATCAAAGATTAGGTTTGGGTTTTTTACTAAAGTTCCATTTTGTATTTCGTGCCCTAATTATGGGGTGTGACATTGCCATGGAACCGTTTGTCGTTGGTGGAATATATATAGATAGTGATCTATGGTTCTATAGTGGATGGTGGTTGGTTGGTTATATAGTGATATATTCTGACTGCCTCGATGGCCGAGTGGTCGCTGGGTTTTAAAAAAAATCTCAGTAATAGCACGGAGTCTGGAATTGTGCCCGGTATATGGCAATAGGATCACCCCCTATTACATGGGACTCGTAGCATAAATAGTGAAAAGTGGGTGTTACATTGTACAGTGGCACAATGTGCACCTCTGCCTACCCCTTCGGGGATAAAAGGCGTGATGTTATGAATTTATTTTTGTTTAACAGTGGCGATTTCGGATGCGCTCTCTTCACTAAAAACTTGGTATAGCGTCCTTTAGATTGGAAAGATTGCCAGCACTGTTGGTCTACTTACAAATGTCAGTTATAATTACAAATGGATTAGATATAATGCAAATACTCTTTACTGTGAAATGTCTATCAAAAATGCGGGAAAGTAAGTAGGTCCTATTTCGTTTGTGAGCAAACACAGTGGGTCTGGAACAATCAGAATACTGAAGAATGTAATTAGAACTAAATATTCATGCTAGAACATAGTTAGTAGCAGACTTTAAGCTCAGTAGATTAACCAACAGAATTTAATTTATAATACTTAATAACAAAAAGAATTTTATTTTATCTCTCTAAAACCATGAATAGTTTATTAAGGATTGGCAAGGTGCATGTAATACTCCAAGTGTTGCAAGCCTACATAGGCCATGGCAACTGCTTACCATCAGGTAGGATGTATCTTTAATGCCACCGTTGTGGTATATATAACAAAAAAAACTCTTATAAACCTGATGTTAATATTCTTGATAGGTAGATTGAATTTATTTATTCATGCATGGTTTTGATTTTTTATAATTAAATCGTGACCTGTCTCTTACTTCAATAAAAAAGGTATTTACTAAAAATAAAAGAAAGACTAAATTGAAAATAAAATATTGCTATAAAATACAATTTACTATGATAACAATGAGTCAATTATCACAAGAGTTTAGCACTGGAAACACCAACGGTAGATATTTGTGGCTGATGTAGATTGCTGTCTGTGCCCGAACATCAAGCAGTGGCAGGGTTCAGAGGTGAGACTACTCCTTTAGTCACAGCAGCTCCTGTGGCACACTGCTGCTCCATGGCATGCGAGGGGGGGTGCTCCAAAACATTGTCAATAAGACCAAAGCCCTTCGCCTCAGAAGGAGACATGAAGTAATCCCGCTCCATTGAAGACTGCACTTTCTCTATAGGTAGACCAGTATGTCTGACATACAGAGTATTAATCTGTGCCTTGAGCTTCAAAATCTCCTCTGCTTGGATCTGTATATCTGTGGCTTGACCTCTCACACCTCCAGAGGGCTGATGGATCATGATGCGGGAGTTTGGAAGTGCATGTCTCATGCCCGGAGCTCCAGCTGCCAGAAGTAGTGATGCCATGCTGCAGGCTTGTCCCACACACCATGTAGCTACTGGAGGAGTGATGTATTGCATCGTGTCGTAAATACCTAATCCAGCCGTAACATTACCTCCGGGAGAGTTGATATACAAATGTACGGGCTTTTTACTTGATTCTGACTGAAGGAATAACAACTGCGCCACGATTAGTGAGCTTATCTCATCGTTTACAGGTCCCATAAGACAAATGATGCGCTCCCGAAGAAGTCGCGAGTAAATGTCATAAGCCCGCTCACCTCTACCTGTTTGCTCTACAACTATAGGTATCATACCTATTTTTAAGGGTTTACTGGTACTTATCGTTCTCTGGACATTTTTCGATATATTCCCAATAGAGTACGAAGTTCTTGCTATTTGTCGAATGTAATTCAGTGCCATTTTTGGCAATATTTCGGATTGCAAAATAGAACAACGATCCTAAAAGTCGTAAAGTTGTTTCTTCATTCGATTATTTCTTCAGATATTCAACAAAGTCGTTGTAGATTGTAATAACTATAAAACAACGGTACACTAGTCAAGGAAGTTAATTTAGATTAATTTTCTCTGCGCTTTCACAACCTACAAAAATATACTTTGATGACATTGACAAATAAACAATGACAAAGACAAGAATTCAAATGACAGTTCATAATGTAAATGACACATGACATGTCAACTAAAAAAACATTGCTGAAACTATGGCTTTTAGCTATAACACTAGAAGTCATCATGACTGACATGAATGCAATCAAATGCATAATCAAAACTTAGAGTACTTATGGCATTTTTGGTTAAACATTGAAAATAATATGAACTGATAGATTCCATAACGTCAGAACTTTTTGATCCAGGGTGAGCATTAAAAAAGCAATAAAAAACGAAAATCATTTAATAACATTTATTTCAGTGGTATTTATCACGGGGCATAATGTAAAGATCACTTTAGGCAATAACTTGTCTTATTTAAAAATATTTAAATGACACAAAACATAATTTTTAGATTCAATATAAAAAAAATCAGATTTGAGATAATCCAATCACTTGCTTTGTATTTGTCTGCGTCGTAGTTTCATCAAAGCTTCTTGTCTTTTCTTTTCAATTATTGTCTTTAGGTCTGCCGAACTACTAATAGGTTTCTGTTGAATATTTGGTGTGGGTTTTTTCTGTAATATTGTACTACTAGCAACTTTAGGTTGAAATTGCACCTTTTTTGGTACACTTGATTTTGGTAAATTGTTGGGAACAGTTTCTTCACTTATTTTTGGCAAAGGCTGGGTCAGTTGTGAATTAAAAATGGACTGGGAACCCTTTTGTGATGATGTGAATGGCAGGAGTCTCTTGGCTAATAATTTTTCTCTGGCCAGCTGGTGCTTCTTTTTAATTTCATCTGGGGTGCATCTGATTGGTGAGTCTCCTTGGTCTGAAAAGTGGTATAATTATGGTCATGAATTTATAAGAATAAACATTTCTAATCAGGCACACTTAATACAACTATATGTTAGAAAGATAAAACAAAGTAAACATGACTTTATACAAACCTGCTGAGCACTCTTTCTCTTTGCCAAAAGGCATTGAATTATATCTTCCAAAAGCCATTCCGCTAGTTGATGGTTTAGTCACTTCTGTAACAGTTGGTGACACAGGCATAGAACTATGACGGCCGAATATAGATCTTGAAGGACTGGCATCATGAACAACAAGTTCTTTTATCGTCCAAGAACTCCCATCTTTTGAACTATTTGATTTGCTTTTACTCCGTGATGTGTCTAGTTTTGTAGGCATCTGTGTTAATCTTTCTAAGGCACTATCATTCAAGTTTCCAACCAAACTATCAAAGGAATCATTATTCATTTGTGGTGATGAGCACATTTGCACTTTCTTCACTACTGGTGAATCCAATTTTATACTATTCAGTATGGCATCCATTGAATCATTGTCCATTTTAAATTTTAAATCAGATATTACATTATTTTTCACTTTTGATTCATAACAAGGCCTTTTTACAGGAGGTGCTTCCTTCAGAATATGTTCTTCCACAACCTGACTGGCTTTTATAAGACACTCATTCATTGAATCATCGGATTCCAACGCTGCTTCAGGATCAGGTTTTACAAAATTAGAACTCAACACATTCCTTCGTAAACATCGAGAATTACTTCTCACCCTGCTTTTAGGAGAGAACTCCGGTGATTCACTCATAAAGTCATCCTCGCTTGCTGAATTTACTTTTTCTGTACATGTCTTTTGGGTCTTCTTTGACATTAGTTCTACTAAATTTTGATTCAGTTCTATTAGGTCTTGAAATAATTCAGTCTTTTTTTGTAAACTTTGTTTAAGAGCTCTACGTTTTGGAGGTTGTCTTTCAATTATTTTAGGTTTTATTGATCTTTTTGATCTCCGACTAACTGGCGTTGAGTTTTTGATTCGTGATTTTCCTGTGTTCTCGGACTTTGGGGTGTAGAAGTTCCAAACCACATCTGTTTCGCCTTCAGCTCCATCTTGGGTACACAAAAATGGTACCGGACTTGCCGCCTCCGAGTCACAGATGGAATCACTATCTCTAGATGGGGAATCAGCTCGATCGGGTGTTGAACACGATAACACTGAAAAACGTAAATAACAACTCATATAGATAGGTAAATATAATATTATACTTTTACTATATCAAATAAAGTTTATCAACCACTTTGCTTATCACACAATCTGAGACAACTTTACGTATAATGTTGAAATTAGGAAATTACCTTTACTTTTATTCTTTGTAGCAACCATTTCGTTTGATTTTCTTTTATCTTTGTTCATATGGATGGCAGACTATCTTCTCTAAATAAAAGTACATATGGTGCGCAATTTTTCGTTAAATTTAATCAAAACGAAATTAAACCACAACAAAGTTCTTGATAAAAATAATCACGAAATCATCAAATCATAAACACAACGTCAAAAATCGGAGGTTATTCTCTGCGTCCATCTGTCAGTCACGAAGAATGTCAAAAAGAAATAGTGATGGCAATGGCACTACGCTCAAACTAGGGCTGTTTTATTTTGTAGGTTTGTATGGCTGCATTCGGTATTATTATAAATTTCATACATATCATAATAAATTGTAATGTTTTTATAAAACCATTTAATCTATTATGGATTTTTTTAGAACTAACAAATCAAATTCTAAGGACGTCACCCAAATTGGGCTATTTTCAGAATTAGGGGGCTGGGGTAGTAAGTGGGGCTAGGTGATATTCTATGATTACATTTATTTACAATAGTGTAGGATTCCTATATAAAACGTTAAAGTAGACATGAGAACTATAAAAATAGTGCAGTGTTTACTAAAGTATTATTTAATAGAAATTAAATATTATTTTTGAACTTAATTTCTAAAATAATAATGTAGGTTACTTCTACATTATTTTTATTCGTTTTATTTCCATCATGCCAGCTTAACCACCGGCCACTGGCAACTGGCAACTCTCTTTTTGACGTTTGATTTTACAAGTTTTGAAGTTACAAGGCAACACTGCATCAGTTGATTGAAGTCTGGCGAGTTTGTTGGACGTGCGTCAATAATTTATTTCTAACTTTCTGGCCGCGACTCGCGATGCTCCTTCGGAAGTGACATTATTTTATTGTGAAGTGTAAAAGAACTTGTGAAACATGTTGGCGGACGGTGAAGTTGTTGGCGATGGGTCGTGGAACCTCACGATCGCCGTGACTGACCTGGACGAGAAGAGGACTATGGTCGTGAAGGGAGACATGCATATTGGAGGGGTTATGCTAAAACTGACAGAAAGCTTCGGTTAGTATACAAAGATAGTTAAGATAAACAATTGACTATGTATCAAGTCTGTTTCCACCTTTTTTAGCATACCGACATTTAAAAATGGAATGGCGAAACTATTTAACGATGTCTTTTATTTAGATGTTGACTCATCTGTATTTAAAGGTGGCCTTGCTTGAGTTTCGGCGGCACTACATTCATTTATACATTTGTTTATCTTTGTTATTATAACCAAAAATCTTTTTAGTTTTCAAATAAGAGTTTATTTTGACTGGGTATTCACTTTATACTCTGTTTTGTCTTTGGCACATTACCTAGTTGGAATTAATCCTGAAATAAAAAGTTAATAATAGAATGTTATAAAGTATCCCTGAAGTCTATTAACACTTAAAATTAAAATTAACTCATTAAGATAACCCGAAGATACTCAGTGACCAAAAGTTGTTATTATATATATTAAACTTGTACTTTTAGTTGATTAAATCAAATAAATTAGGTACCTTTTTGAATTTCACATTATTATCTTGTTAGAACACTCTACCCCTAAACATACTGGCTGAATAGTTTTTCTTTTTAATTATGTAATTTATCTATGGTCATTCTGTTGACACATGCTACATAAAATAGTCATCACTAAATTTTTGACATACCATCCTTATACAGCATGTTTGAACTTTGAACAATAGATACCTCACCTCAAATAAATTAAATTTTATAATGACTCATATCATAGGTGCAAAAATAAAGCTAAATTCTTCAAGGAAAATCTATATACTTAATGTATGGTTAAACTAGTACATATTACTTTCAAGGGTAATCCATAACATAATCTACTTTAACTAAAGGCCTACCAAATGCAAGAAGACAAAATTAAAAAGATAAATTTTATTATAAATTATTTTTAATAATGCCATAAACCATAAACAATCAATACCTACATTATACATACTATGATAAAGTATAGTAAAAGTTGAACCTGCCAATTACGATTACCAGGTTTACATTTGCACATTAAAAAGACCACCTTGCAATGAAATAGCATAAAAACCTTGATATGAATCTAACAAAAATAAATGCCAGCATAAACATAAAATTACTTTCTATAATTTTTTTATATACATATCTAGATTATTATCAACATAATAAAGGTGAAAATCGATTGATCTTGAGTTTTTTCAATAACTTATATTGTTATGCTAGCGAAGATGTATTCCCATGAGTACATGGCTTACTATGACATTGATAATGTCATATTGAGGACACAATAACACTTTGCAACGACATGTCAACATCAAAGACATGTCTTGAATATTTTATAATTACAATTATTAATATTTCATTATCATAAAGTCAAAGTATTTATTTCGATAGAGACACTTTTGAAACATTGAATTCCCTTTAGTTAGTCTGTCTGTCAATGAAGCTAGGTGCTATAAGTAGGTGTTGGATGCTATAACTAGATGTATGTACATAACTATAATAATTTGTTAAGCACTGCCTCCTATATAACATACATTTTATTTATTTTTATTATCTTCCCATCCTTTCAGGGCAATGTCCACTTAAGAAATTAGCATCTAATTAATATTCATAATATTCATCATACTTCAGAAGCCAGTTTCGTTTGCTGACTGGTCCAGATAATAATAAAAGCAATACCTGTCTGATTAAAAGAGCAGAATGAGCGAGACAGCGATATACGAGTGAATGAGACGGCACATGCGCGTACGCTAGCACGCGTCCTTCGCGGCCGATTATGTCGTATGGACCGGGTTTTTGCCTACACTGCTGCAGGTGAACTACCGAGCAGTTATGTGTATTTTGAAAATGATTTTGTGAGAGCACTCTGTAGAACTCTGTACTTGTAGCTCAGTAATAAAATGCCACAGATTGAATAAACGTAATAAAAAACCAAGAGGAAAATGCAGTAGACCTATTGTAATAAATACCGAATAATAAGATTTCCTAAAGGATTTAAAAAATACCATTATCTTCGGTTCTCATGACTAATTCACTTAGAACCTCACTAAACCTCGCGTTGTACAAAATAAGCAAACGCTACAACTATAACTAGTCGCGTAAACAATTTAAAATTCTCACCTACGCCAAATAGCTAACTGATAACTTTCAAAATGGCGGCTATTCGCCCACTTGACTCCAAAACTCGAATTATTATTCAAGCCTATCTTGCTCCTTCTATTGCGTAGTATTAATACAACTATGTCGTTGAGATATTTAGTTTAATTGTTTACACAAAGATAGACAGTTGTTCGAAAGCGATTAAGTATTTAGGAATGCTACTATCTTGTTTAAATTACTTAATAGTCCTCAATATACTCTTGTATCTCTAAAAGTTGTACAGTTGTACGTATAGTTTAGTCTCATGTAATCACTTCAGCAAAGCGAAAAAATCAAATCCACTGACTTATAAGTAAGATCTATGAATCACGTCTTAGCAATACATAGAATAACAGCTTCATTCTTTACCAACAATTTTGACAGTAATAGTTCAATAACCTCGAAATTCTACCTCGTATAGACAAAAAATGGGAATCCCTTTGAAAATGATTTCGGAAACGAATTCAAAAATATCCCCTCTAGAAAGAATCAAAAGATCAAATAACTAGGTAAGATTTGTATCAATCAAAACGCTGTTCAGATCAATAGAACTGCTACAGAACTCGTAGATAAAGAAAATAATTAATGTAGGCCAAAAGAAAACACGAAGACGCCGCTCACTAATAATAGAGTCTCATTAGTCAGTTGCCAACAGATGAACAGACAAACAGACATGAATGGAGCACAGGCAACGCACAGATATGGGATAATACTACTCCATTCTGAAGAAAGTCATCTATATACTGAGATAAAATGCCCAAAAAATCACAAAACTCATTTTTCAAGTAGATTACGAAAACTTCTTTCAATATTGACGCTGGTGTATCAAATGTTAGCCAGATAATGTTATCTGCAAACCAAATATTTAAAGACTTAACTCTTTTCTCTGTCCAAACAAGCCTGGTTTTGTGTCGTAGACTTCCAGCTACTCATTATGGGAGTCCAGAAATATCTTGACATGGATTCGTACGTGAAATAATTAACATTAAAGTCTATACATACATAAAACTTTGGTACTATAAATATGATAATATAGTAGAGGACAATAAATACGTAACACGGTTATCAATGTGTTCCACCATAATCTTATTATCTAAATATTTCATAATGCTACCTAGGTTACCTCTAGGTAAGTAACGAAGCAATTAGACCATTTGGTCTCGTAGTGCGTGAAAAAATCAGCACTCGATGTAATGAATGTCATGCAAATTATTTCAGTATAGATAACACCGGTACCGTTACGTAGACTGCATAATCTAGCTTGTCTATACATACTCCAAGTGATAAGATTGTAAATATCGTTTACATAACTTTGATCGACCTAAAGCATTTAGTTCAATAAATAATCTAATTTAAATTTCATAGAATAATTACAAATTAGTTCTGTTGCGAAATAGTATTAGGTCATCGGACTATAACGTAGTTTTCTTCACTTTCGAGACGGATGCGCGTACGCACGTTCCGAGAAGCCGCCATGTTGAGTCGTCGTATTTCCGGCGCCTCCGTCCCCCTCCCCTGACTGGCGTAGATAACGCGTTATCATCCGCTCATTGTTCCTCCATGCTGATGAGGTACTTGACCAATCGCACAGTAGCGCAGGGCGTTGACTTGCTTGATATTTTTAGCGTGCCAAGTAAATATTTTGAAGGGCTGCTCGATATATGGCAACAACATTGAGTCAATTCTCTAAGGAATGCAAATGTATTCAATGCGACAAAGTTCTTAGATTAGAAATTTCAATAGACTACACATTTTTTTTTAATTTTGCCCTTCCTAGCTTTAAATAAGCAGTGCCTTCTACAGAAAAGGCAAAGCTTTAAAATACATTTACTAATCGGGAAAACCTAAAGCCATTGTGTTAGAACGAATCAGGAAACTAATTGCATTGTATTAATTCTTATCTATGGAGTACTGTTTGTAATGAACATCCTGGGTAAATTCCACAGAGTATTCATTACCGGAGCTTTGTGTATATTATGTTTATCGGGATGTGTCAGTGTAGACACGGGAACGTGAGCTATCTACCGTGACTCCGAGAGTCCGAGGTGATAAATACGACTGCTACTGTTACAATAAGGGCTTTGTATCAATCTATCCTGCCTGACATTGATAAACAACTTTGAAATTATTAAAAAAACGTACGTTAGATTCCATGACTCAATCAAATACCAATGAATGTATTCCCGCTTTTATTTCTGTCAACGACAACTGGGTCGAATCGTACCATAGACAAATAAATAATGCTGTGCATTGTATGCCACTGGCCAGTTGCATCATATCAAACATTTAAAAATACAACAGGGGCATGACGTAACGTGAGCATTCGCATGATAACAGCCTCGCCCACATTATCGATATGTTTAACAGAGGATTATAAAGACAGTCGTCAGTCCATAGGACGCTGGTGTTCCTGGGAGTGCCAACTATGGCAGAGACAGGCGGACGCTAACGGTTGCGCGCATTCTTGAATCCCACAGTCCGATGGCTAATTGCCGTGATCTGACGACACTATGCGTATTGAATAATATACATTTAGACCTTTCAAGTATTCACTGACCCGTCGCAAAAATATTCAGAAATTAATATATTCGGATGAAACAAAAACTATGCCCTAAAAATCCTATAAATCATTGCTACGCGTATAATAGGTTGTCTTGTAAGATTTACCATTTATATTGCCTCACACACCACAGCTAGTTAGCTTATTTGCAATTTAAAATAACTTGCATAAATTATATTCTAAGCGTAACTAAATAGGAGTAATAAATTCATGTTAGCGGCTGTAAGCAGCCGTTGTTTTACAAATAATTATTTCATTCATTTCGACGCAAGTGGTATCGTAGGACGATGAATTTCGGACGTGCCATTGGTCAGTTATTAATGAACAGTCATCGACTTGCCGTC